GGGCCCTGTCTGGCTTTGGGCCTCTTCAGCCATCAGCTGACACAAAAATCAAAATGCAGTGTCCCTCAAGACCTTTTCCTCCCCTTCCAGGGGCAAGTCACGCCTACCTATACCCCTCATCCAGATATGTGTCACCTTTACCAGGTGTCTGTCACCTTCCCTAAGTGTGTGTCACTTTCACCCAGGTGCCTGCCACCTTCACCAAGTGTGCCACCTCCCCTGTGTGTCACCTTCACCAGGTGTCTGTCACCTTCCCTAAGTGTCACTTTTACCCAGGTGCCTGTCTTCTTCACCAGGTAGGTGTCAAGTCACCTTTACCAGGTGTCTGTCCCCTTCACCAGGTGTGCCACCTTCCTTGAGTGTCACCTTCACCAGGTGTCTGCTGCCTTCACTGAGTGCATGCTACCTTCACCTAGGCATCTGTCACTTTCACTGGTGTCTGACGCCCTCCCTAACATGGGTCGCGTCCACCAGGTGTCTGTCACCTTTGCTGTGTGCCACCTTCATCCAGGCACGGGGACGCCTCCAGCGAAGCGGTCAGCCCTTCTCCAGCCTCACTGTGCCGGCTTATGCCGCAGGAGGGTCCCGGGCGGGGCTGCCTCTGACAGTGGGCAAAGGGACGCTAGAGGCCTGGAGGCTCTAGCAGAGAAGGGGTGGCCCCAGGGGCCGTCCCCACAGCCGCCTCCCTGGCAGGCGGGAGGCTCCGAGACCCAGCTCTCCCAGGCCTCACCCTCGTGCCCTGGACAGATGTGAGCCACCGCAAGGATACAGCGGGCCATGTGGTCACGGGATGCCATGTCCAGCATTTCATGACGCTGCCCCCGCCCATCATGCTTGCCCCCTCATGTGCTCCATGACGCCGTGGCCAAGTGGTGCCTCCCGGGAGCCTGGCCCCATGCCACCATGCCCGTCCACAGCATCACCCAAGTGGGGACCTGCCCAGCTCCTTCCAAGGCAGCACATGAGCACTTCTGGAAACCCTGGGAAATGCCAACTCACGATGATTCTGCAGGGTGACGAGCATCCTGTTTCCCCAGGAACAGGCGGGGGGGGGGCTCTGGCCACGGGAGGGGATCGGGGCCCTGGCCCAGACCTTGCAGCTGGTGCCTCACGTGTGTGTTCACGTCCCCACAGGCATCACGGACATGCAGACGTGCACAGGTACACTTGGGAGGGGGTAGGGGACAAACGGTATGTGTGGGACATCTGAAGCGGGAGGGGGCAACGTGAGGGAATGTCTGAGGGGGGAGAGGGCAGTGGCGGGTGTCTGAGGCGGGAGGGGGCGATGGGGGGACACCCGAGGTGGGAGGGGACAAGGGGAAGGGCGATATCTGAGTTAGGAGGAGACAACGTGGGTGACATCTGAGGCAGAAGGGGACGGCATGGAGGGGACAGCACGGGTGACATCTGAGGTGGGAGAGGACAGTGTCAGGGGCTGCCTGGGCAAGTGAACCAGGCAGAGCGTGCCCTGCCCTCTTGGGCCTGTGCCAGCAGCTGGACTGCAGGATGCCAGGAGCACACTGAGGCCGCCCAGATGGAGCAGCCGTAGTTGGAAACATGGAGAAACCCCTCCTGAGATACAGGAGCGAGACAGGCTGAGGACTTGAACATTTAATATTAAGCACCTTTAAGGTGAAGGCGAGCTTCTGACACAAGTCATAAATAATGAAAAACAAGCAGTGAGAAAAAGCAGCCCCAGCCCCTTGGGGAGGCGGCGGGGGGGACTCTGTCGAGCGGCGGGCGAGGCTCGGGTCCGGCCGTCAGAGCCCCCCAAGGTCGTCCGCCAGGAAGGCCAGCAGGTAGCGGCTGACGTGCCTGTCGATGATGACGGGCGAGAAGCCGAGGACGCGCCGGGCTCCAGGCAGCCCCCTGGGGTCTGGAAGCCAAGCCGGAGAAACTTGAGAACCAGCCCGAAGGCGAGCCCTGCCCTGGGGCCTCCCGGGCCCTAGGAGGCAGGTTGGGCGGGCACTTGCACGTCCCCACTCACGGCCTTGGGTCGAGCGGAAAAGACAAGAAGTGGGCGGACGCCAGAGCCTCCAGCTCCGCCCAGAGTGGCGGTGGGCACCGTGTCCCCACTCCCAGCAGGCCGCTCGGCACCACACACCGTGGCACGGCAGAAAAGGCCGGGGGACCCGCTCAGCCCTCTCCCTCCCTCCCGCCACAAAGCCCGTCACTCTCTAAGTCCTGGGGCAGCAGGGCCCCTGGGGCTGGCGCTAGACACACCCCACTTCTCTCAGCCCACCCCACGGTGCAGGTGAGGAAGCCGAGGCACGGAGAGGCCGAGGCGCTCTCCGAGGGGCCGGGGCCCAAGGACCTGGGTGGGTGGCACTGAGAGGCGGCAGAGGGCAGGCCCGGTCCCATGGGGGCCCCCACACCCACCTGGAGGGCAGCAGTAGAGGAGCAGCGCCAGGCCCATGGCCAGGCCCAGGCCAGCCAGGAAGCTCACGGGGCCTGGGGAGAAAGCGGTGTGAACAGGCCCGGCTGTGGAGGCAG